TTTTTTTAACTTCATCGCAGACCAAACACTTAACCGGGGTGATATAAGCATCCGCGGGAAGTGGTCCCCACATAGGAGGCTCCATCTGTTGGTGGTGGTGGGGGAAGAAGCACCTGCTGCTGGAAAACAGGTCCAGCGTCCCTCATACAGGATACAGGGCTTTAGTTCGGCAAAATGATCCAAATACCAGGGGTGCAGACCTGCCTCTTGAAGCTTGTTTATTATTCTCTGCAACTATCTGAAAGGGTCTCCTTTTTCTTTTTTTTTCCCCACAAAGTGGTTAAAAAGTGGGGACCACTTAGGCCCAGATTTTCCCCACTTGAACTTCCAGCAACAGGAATTTTACTTGTGGTCGTTAGCCGCAGCAGGTCAGGTCCGGAAGTCGCTATGGTTTAAAGAAGACGAATGGAGATCACTAAACTATTTATTATTTATTATTTTACTAATTTAAAACATTTTATAACCCCTCACTTTTTATACTCACAAGTCTGGCAGAAGCATATTGTTGCTACCCGGAAATAACTCCCATTAAACTAACTTATCTAAATATATACTAATATAGTAAATACAAAATTCTAAATTACTAAAGTCTAAATTCTATATATTTTTTTTTAATCCTTTCCCCCCCTCCAGCCTTTAAAATTGTTTACACTCTCGCCTAATCCAGAAAAATACTCTGAAAGCGTTTTTTTTTAATTTTTAACTCTGAAAGTTTTTTTTTTTTTTTTTTTTTTTTTTTTTTTTTTAACTCTGAAAGTGTTAGCAATTTAGTACATACTAAATACTGAGAAGATGATCATCTAAAGGAAGCGACTGCAGGAATAAACAGACGGTTCACAAAGAACTTGACAACTGGAGCGGTCCGCGATAGCATAGCGTGTTGGGATTGCTTCTTCTTACATAGCTTATCGCTGTGCTCCCATGAGTTTCCTGAAGACGGCTTTCACGATCGGCGTGAGCCGAGTGCGATTGTACGCATCGCCGCACTGGCGAATGGCTTCTGCACAGGTAGGATAAGGGTGGATGACAGTTGCGATTCGGCCCAATCCAATTCCCGACTGGATGGCCAGCGTAACTTCCGATATCAGATCACCAGCGCGCGTTCCAACAATAGTCGCACCGATGATTTGGTCTGTACTCTTCTTGGTGTAGAACTTCACAAATCCCTGCCAGCAAACCACACACACACACACACACACACACACAGAAGACGAGAGCATCAGAGCAGCAGAAGTCTGTGGCGAAATTGGCATCCAAGGGGAGGAAGAGCGAGGGGGGGGTGTGGGGGGAAGAAAGGACGCAAGAGAGGAGAGGTAAAGAAGAGAATAAACAAGAAGAGCGGAGGAGGAGGAGGAGTTGTGGGCTAGATGAAGAACTTCTGCAAGAGCATGGCCATGGCAGTGCAGGCAAGGAGAAGCGGATAACAGAGACAAAAGAATCAAGGAGAAGCGACAGATTCACAACCACTGTTCCTCACGGATGCAACTTTTGGTTTTTCAAAATAAGTCGGGATGGACGTGGCGATTTAAGAAAAACAATGGTCACCGCCAGAAGCAGCAAATAAAATAAAAGCTTTGCTTGCACCTGGCCACCAAATCGTACCAAAGGCTTGTGTGTGGTGTTGTGTGTGGTCTGTGCTGAGTTGTGAGTTGGACACTACAGCCCCTTGCAGGGGATGGGGTGGATATCACGACCGGTATGGTTCCCCACTTTTGAACACCGTGCCCTGGCTGTAGTGGTTATAAGAGACTTGGCTCTTGAGGCCGAGGTCGTCGGTTCGAATCCGTGCTTGCACAGTGGAGAACGCCGGGCTCATGCTGGGATGGGTAGCACCATCCTGTAATCTCAGCTGTGGAGGACCTGGATGTGCAGATTCACTTAGCTCCTCACACTCACAGAACAGCTGAGGTCACACCTCATGGCTCCCTCCAAGTGACTAGAAGAAAGAGGACCGGGGGGGGGGGGGGGGGGGGGGGGGGGGGGGGGGGGGGGGGGGGAGGGATGATGCTGACAAGAAGAAATGTAAGGCTACTGAACGACTGAGCAGATCCCGACAGACAAAGCAACTGATTGGCTAATGATCGATCTAAGATCCAGATGACCATACAAGTTGGCAGAGAAACGGATCGACTGGTGAAGAGGGGGGGGGGGCAAGGGGGGGGGGGGGGGGGGAGAGGATACTACGAAGAAGTGAAAAGAGTTCAGACATAGGAGGAGGAGGGGAGGAAGGAGAGAAGGTGAAGAAGAGGAGAAGAACAAGAGAGAGAGGAGGGAGAGGAGGAAGAGGCGGGAGAGGGAGGAGGAGGAGGRGGAGGAGGAGGAGAAGATGGAGGAGGGAGCAGAATGAGAAGACGGAGGATGAGGAGCAGGAAGAATAACGAGGAGGAGGAGAAGGTGAACGACTGAAGATATACCAATATACGGAATCATTACAGACTGACTGATTTGAAAACCAATTGATGTAACGTGCAGATGAACAGAATCTGTCAGACATTCAAACACCAGGGAGCGGCGGGAAGGGAGAAGGGAAGAGGAGGAGGAGGAGAAGACGGCAAGAAGCAGAGGAGGAGGAGGAGGAGGAGGAGGATGGACTTACAGAACGTCAACTACTTAAGTATGTAACTATCGCCAGAGATGCTGAAGGCCCAATTAATCCAAGTACTATACCAGATAGAAGAGGTTCAACCATAGTTGTTTTTGTATTTGAGGTAAAAGATTTTGAATAATACAAATCCTAACTCAATCCTATACTCTAGAGAAGAAGAAGAAGAAGAAGAAGAAGGACGACAATATGGGTCATATGGAAGGAAAGATGCAGCAGAACGATTGAAGGACTGTTCAACCCACGCGAAGAAGTGTGGGTAGAGACAAAAGTGATGATACAAGCCGAAATCCTGTGCAGATGGAGGAAGATCAAGCAGGCTTGCACGGAGGACAAGGAACAACGAAAGAAGGAGAGATTGACTTTCAGCAAAAACTGGTTGATAAATGGCAAGATTGCAGAGCTACAAGAAGACCATATTCCGCTGGAAAGACTGGCACAACTCAACTCCAGGAAGGATTCACCAACAAGAGACAACCGCTGAGAGACATGACGTTACATGATTAGACATCTAAGAAGACTGGACAAGACGGGAGTAAGGGCGTCATAGAAGCATGGCAGTAGTTGAAGGTCTAGGGATTAAGGATTTAAGGGATCCTCACGGACGGGAAAATCCTTCCTGCCGGCCTGGCCCAACTTGGGAAGTTGTATCCCCTGACGAGGGTTTAGGTTTCAGGGTTTTTGAGGAAAGGGGCGCTAAGGACAAACTGGAGATGGGATCAGATAAATTAAAAGAACTACAGGGGAGGAGGAGAAGGAAGAAGGGAGAAGGAAGAGGGGAGAAGGAGGGGAGAGAAACAAAACAGGAAGAGAGGAAGTGGGGCCAGGTAGGAGAGGTGTAAGATGGGACAGAGGGTATCGTGGATTACGGACAGGACGGCCGAGTAAAGGCTAGCTTGGACATGATGGGGTAACTCTTTCTAGGTAGCAGTGATCTATCTGACAGATCTGGTTATCTGATCTGAGAGGAAAGAGCGAGACATGGAAAGCTGGCAGTCAATCCTCCATCAGGGTGGAGCAATCAATGCTGACCAGGGGTCCTTCGGCCAGACGGAAGGAAGCGTGGGTGGTATATGTTTATTGCTGGGTAGCACGGCGTACACGTACGCGGGCTCCGCATACGTGCATACGCGCGTGCATATGCGCATACGTGTCGCATACGTATGCGCGCATACGCAAATTTACGGCCCGCATACGTGGTCACAGCGGGCCGTTTCACGGGTTTGTCTGGGCCCGGTAGGGGTTGGGGGGTGGGCATTGGGATTGGTTGGTGTGTGTGTGTGTGTGTGTGTGTGTGTGTGTGTGAGAGAGAGAGAGAGAGAGAGAGAGAGAGAGAGAGAGAGAGAGAGAGA